TCTTGAAGTACACTTTATGTACTTATATCCACAGATAAAAGTTTTTCCATCCATTTGGTTCATTTATTGGGCACTGCAGTTTCGTGATGTCTAATCTTGGACTTTTCAAGTTGGTGGTTCTTTTTGACTCACCAAAAATCACTAGATTCAAATAATAGTAGGGTCTTCATGTTTTAAGGGACAATGTATACAATCAAGGTAATTTCCCTTATATTTTTTGAGATTAAATTTTGCATTCTTCTCATGTTTACCTAGATCCTTCTAGAACAGTAACAGAATACGGAGAGAAAATTCATCCTTCTAACAGAGTCTTTTTGTGTTCGGAAGGCTTCGACTACTGTGGTTGTACTCATTATTCCTTTTTAAAAATTATCTTTTTCTCCCAAAATAATCCCTTCAAATTGTGGGGAAGTATTAAGCTTTCTCTTGAATCATAACAATTGTAATAATTTATTTATAATATTGAATTATTATGATTATGGCATACATGGCTCAAATTAAGGTGGATAGATTTATGTGGGCTAGAAATAAGAGTAGTTGATAGTAGAAAATATAAAAATAATAACTAATTAAAGAAAACATGTTAAAACTCACAGGATAATTTTCAAGCTTTGAAACAGAAATAGTTACATCGCAAGTCTGAATTATTTTAGTAAGTTTTAAGAATCCGGTAAAGAGAGTAACTTGAGAGAGACTGAGATATTTGAATGAAAAATGTATTAAAGCAATGGAGATGGCTTTTGTCACCCTCTGTTAATACCACAGTCTCTAACTAACATGATCACTAAGAATCTTTCTGATTTCAATTTTTTTTACTTGTATTTGTATCTACATAGAAAAGTCAATATGAGTACTTTTTTAAATTTGAAACTTCTATTTCTACTTATAAATTACTAAATTATATTAAGATGACTCAGTTTGTATGAAATGTATCATACCAGGGACTTTAAAATTTCTTTAGTTTGAGAAAAAGTTAATCTATTTCTCTGTGCAGAAATGGAAACCTGTGAATTCCACAGTGAATCTGGTGATATATATACATTACTCTTTTTTATTTTTTTCGCAATTCTGTGAATTTCAAGGTTAATCCATCTGAAACAGTTTTCCACTGATCACAGCTGCTACAGTTTGATTCTTCTCTTGCAAGTTTGTACCGGAGTAGGTTCCAGTTGGTAGGGTTTTAGTTGTCTTCTGTTTCAAGACAAGAAAATATGAAAAAGGGTACATTTTGGATTCAATTTAAGTGCCTCTCCATATACACTTACTCTAATATGTTTTATAAACATGCTTTATTAATTTTTAAAAATTTTCCTTTATTTTATTAAATATATTGGTATGACATAGGTTAATAGAACTGCACAGGTTTCAAATGTAAAATTCAATACGTCATATGTATATTGCATTCTGTGTTCGCCATACAAAGTTAAATGTCCTTCCATTACCATGTATTTGACCCCAGAAATCCCATGGCTACTGTCACCACATATCTGGCAGACAGAGATTGTGAGTTTTTTCTGGTTTAGAATTTTATAATAAAGATGGTAAAACTGCAAAGATAACACTGAAGGTGCAACCTCACCAGGATTTTTTTTGTTGAAGTCAGTGTTCTGGCAGAGAAAGAGTCAGGTTCTGAGATCTAAAATAAGCACCTTTACGTGGGGATGGGTAAGAATCATGAAGTTACAAATGATCTCGCATCCTCTTGGTTGTCCTAAGTAGCTTCCTCTTCTTTGAAAGAGAGGAAGAAACAGACTTCCCTAGACACCGCACTATCACCTCATTTGAAGAAGTTGTCATGCAATATTTGTCCTCCTCATGAGCTTCCTCCTACGCCCTTATTGCTGCCAAACAGCTAACCAGGGGCGAGCTGCAGGAAAGTTCAAGCAAGAAAGTCCAATCTCGTTCTTGGAGGAAAGAACACACGTGAAGGAATTGCAGGACTTGGCTGCTGTGTACAAGTGTGCACCAGGGAAGCACTTTACTGTGAGAATGAGTTTTACAGGTGTGGCAAAATATAAGCCTGGAGTGCGGTCTATGCCAATGGGGACTCTTTCTGTAGACCCAAATCATTGCAGATGCCTCATCGAATATGTTGTTTGCTTTATTCACAGACTAGTTGTTAGATTTGTGGAATGAACTATAAGACAGAGCTACTAAGAGCATGATACCTAAATGTCAAATTTTTTTTATCTGAAGCATTGGCAATATCTTAAATTTTATGCTATTCTTAGGTGTGATAGCTTAGGAGTGAATATATATTTAAACTTAATTCATAGCTAAAGGGTTCTAAAGTAAATTGTGTGAAGAAATTAGATCCCAAAGTTTCTAGTTGGGGATTTTTTGATGTGATCAGCAGGTCCATATTCAAGTGGCGATTAAAAAAGGCCAACTAAAAAAATTGTGTGTTTTTCTAGCATATTTCTTGAGAAAGATGTTACTTTAGAACCATCTTTATTCCAAGTGTTCTTCGACACTTCTCTACATGCATTAGAGAATGGTGTAACTTCCTTCACTGATATAATGCTGTTCTCAGTGCAGCTTTAAGAAAACATAAATTTCTTATTTTTAATGGCATTCATATTACAACATAATGTATCAGATGGGTTGTTGTACACCTAAACTTTACCAAATATTCTATTTCAAATATATGTCAATGAAAAAATATAGTTTCTTTTTAAAAAGGCTACCTTGAAAATA